TTCTCCCACATCTAATAGTTTGACCACAGGTGATGTAGAGATAGAGTTAGCGGGCGTAAAAAGGACTTTTCAGGTGCAATACGCTATCCATAAAACAAATCATCAAAACATTGAGCTTACTGGAACTTCTACCATGCATGATTGGGAGATGACTTCTTCATCTGCAACTTGTGATGCTGTATTCACCACTGATGCAACAGGTAAATTGACAGGACTTACAAATATGTCATTCAAAACACCTGCCAAAATGCTCAAAAGTGGTAAAGGAGCAATGGACAAAAATGCTTACAAAGCATTAAAAGCTGATAGTAATCCTGATATTAGTGCAGTTTTAACAAGTGCTACTATCAAAACGATCGATAGCAAAAATTACACCATCACAAGTCAAGTAAAACTCAACATTGCGGGTAAATCAGTGAATACAACACTGGTAAGTAATGCTAAAATAAATGCAGATAACACTATTAGCATCAGTGGTGAAAAGAAAATCGCCATGACAGATTATGATATGAAACCACCTTCATTTATGCTAGGCTCTGTAAAAACTGGTAATGATGTAGTGTTAAAATACAATATCACTTTATCAAAATAATGAACAAATTATCAAAAAGACTTCAACCTTTATTTAAATCAATATTATTTTTTTAACATAAAACAAATATAATGAAAACCCTTTTTAAAATTTCCAGCTTACTTCTTTTTGTACTTTTCATTTCAAAAAGTACGGCTCAGATTCAATACACTAGAGCTTATGATAAAACAGGAATTAATGTGTTTGAGCCATCAAAAATGGATCAAACTGCCTATGATGGTTTTAAAATTAGAATCGGTGGATCTTTCACACAAGATTTTCAAAGCTTTAAAGTAGAAAACAAAGCTAATTACGTACCTACATCAGGAACTAACAGGCTAAATAAAAATTTACTTTTTGGATCTATTCCTTCACAAGATTCATTGACTTCAAATTTGACTGGATTCAATCTTGCCATGGCAAATCTTAACTTTGATATCCAAATAGGTGATGGTATTCGAGTATTCTTAGAAAATTACATGTCTTCACGTCACCACAGTGAATTTTGGGTGAAAGGTGGATACATACAAATCGACAAATTACCTATGTTTAATAATCCAGAGTGGTTTACAAAATATGTTAGGGTAAAAATAGGGCACTTCCAGCCTAATTATGGTGACTTCCAATTCAGAAGAAGTGATGGTGGTAATACTATGTTTAATCCTTTCACTGAAAACCTAATCCTAGATGCATTTAGTACAGAAATAGGTGGTGAAGCTTATGTATTCCCCACAAGTAACTTAATGTTGATGGTAGGTATGTCTTCAGGTTTTATCAATGGAAATGTTGCAGAATACCCAACTGCTAATAACTCTGCGGGTGTTGTTCCTACTAAAAAGAGCCCATCTATCTTTGCTAAGATAGCATATGACAAAACATCAGAAAACCTTAGATACAGACTTTCTGCTTCTATATACAACAACAGTAATATCCAAAGAAATACACTATTTGCAGGTGATAGAACAGGTTCACATTGGTTTAGTGTTATGGAACCTGCCAATACAGTCGCTGGTGGAATAGCAACACCAACTACAGCTGCCGCTAACTTTACATCAGGAAGATTTGATCCAGGTGTTGCCAATAGATTAACAACAATCAATGTAAGTCCTTTTATCAAGTTCAAAGGATTGGAATTACAAGGTGGTATTGATTTATTAAGTGGTTCAGTATATGGTGACACATTAACAACTGGGGGCACTAAAGAATGGATAAAAAGAGATTGGACACAAATCTATGGAGAAGTTGTATACAGATTCTTAAAAGATGAGCAAGTTTTTGTAGGTGCAAGATTGGTTAATGCAACAGGTCAACCTAGTGGATTGAAATATGGTGCTAATGACGTTGCTTTAGGATTCCAAAATGGAACTCAAGCTAAAGTAGCTATCAACAGAGTATCTATGTCAGCAGGTTACTTCCCAACAAAAAACATGTTATTGAAAGTAGAATATACTAGTCAGCAATACAAAGATTTTCCTTGGGCTGATTACAGACACGAAAGTAAATTTTCAGGTTTTGTTGTAGAAGCAGTCATTGGATTCTAATCTAAAGATAATCATAGTAAGGTCGTTGGACTCTAACAATTTTAGATTCAAATTTGATCGAAAAATATAAATGGCGATTTTTAGAAGGGTTGGCAGCGGGTTCACATCTGATGCCAACCCTTTATCTTATCCAAAAATAACTTTTGTTCATGGGTTTTATAACAAAATATTATATTTTAACCTTTCTTCTTAGTATGAGTGGATATACTTCTACAACTAAGGTGAACGAAGTATGGATAATCAAAAGCAGTAGTAGTCTAGAAGTAGATGGCAGCACAAATATTAATAACTTTTCATGCAAAATCCACTCTTATAATCAAACGGATACTTTATATTTCGCTCCAAAAGATAAAACACTAAAACACATTAAAGTAAATGGAAAACTGAAAATTAACGTGGCAGATTTTGACTGCAAACATAAGATCATGACTAAAGATCTACAGAAAACACTTCAGGCTCAAAAGCATCCATATATGATTGTTAAGTTTCTTAATTTTTCAGATATGCCATCTTCTCCCACATCTAATAGTTTGACCACAGGTGATGTAGAGATAGAGTTAGCGGGCGTAAAAAGGACTTTTCAGGTGCAATACGCTATCCATAAAACAAATCATCAAAACATTGAGCTTATTGGAACTAGAGGTGTCAACTTTAGTGATTTCAATCTCAAACCACCTAGCAAGCTCGGTGGTACCATCAAAGTAAAAAATGAATTACAAGTAGAATTTAAACTTCAACTCAAAAAAAACATTTAAAATCAAAACAAACAAATAATGCAAGAAATATTTAAAAATACATTATTCGCTGGCATAGCGATTTTCATTTTTAGTTATGGTGGCTTGTTGCTAGCAATTAGTCTTTTCCCATCTTTTTTTGTGGATTACATAAGCCCTGTATTTAATTCAGATGGTAGTCGCGATGTCTTCTTTTACCTACATCCCTTTATTTTGAGTTTGGCATTAGCTGTTTTTTGGAAAAGATTTCAAAACATGTTTAGAGGACATTTTGTGCTTCGTGGTTTTGAGTTTGGATTTATTTATGCAGCGATTGCTTTAATTCCGGTCATGTGGATAACTTACAGTGCCGTAGATGTGTCGTTATCTATGGTATTTACATGGCTTTTGTATGGAATATTTCAGTCTTGCGTAGCAGGTATTATTTTTGCTTGGAGAAGCCATTTAAAATTAAGCCATTAAATCACTCATGCTCTTTTGCATTTGTTGAGCTTTTCTTCTGATTTCTTCTTGAAAATCAAGCCCATTGCCAGCATAAATAATATCTCTAGATGAGTTAACTAGAAGTCCAATATCATCATTTTTGCCATTTTTGAAAACAGCATTCATATCCCCACCTTGGGCGCCTACTCCTGGTACAAGAAAAAAGAAATCTTTAGCTAAAGCCCGAATCTCAGCAAATGTCTCAGGATGTGTGGCGCCAATGACATACATTAGATTATTGGGATTGCCCCATTCTTGCGTTTTTGTGATAACTTTTTCATATAAAGTACGACCATCTTGATCCCTCAAATATTGAAAATCTGCACTTCCTTCATTACTTGTTAAACCCAATACGATCACCCATTTATCATCAAACTCTAAGAAAGGTGTAATCGAATCTCTCCCCATGTAAGGAGCGACTGTCACAGCATCAAAATTCAGGTATTCAAAAAATGTTTTAGCGTACATTTTACTTGTATTACCTATATCTCCACGTTTTGCATCGGCTATAGAGAAAATATTTTCAGGGATGTACTCCAATGTTTTTTCAAGTGATTTCCAACCCTTTGGGCCTAACGACTCGTAAAAAGCTAGGTTTGGTTTGTAAGCTACACATAGATCTTTAGTAGCATCAATGACTGCTTTATTGAATTCAAAAACAGGATCTTGGTATGCTAATAAATGGTGGGGAATTTTGGTAGAATCTGTATCAAGACCTACACAAAGAAAACTTTGCTTCTCACGGATATTTTGAACTAATGCTTGCTTTGTCATCAATTAAAATAACCATTTACCGCTTCTACACCTTTAATCTCTGGCAATTTTGATTTTATGGCTTGTTCCACTCCTGCTCTCATAGTCATAGCAGACATAGAGCAATGTTCACAATTGCCCATCCACTTGATTTTTACGATCATGTCGTCTGTTATTTCTACTATCTCAAGATTACCACCATCAACTGCAAGATGTGGTCTGATTTCATCCAAAGCATGGTTTACTTTGTCGAATAATGTTTGTTCTGCTGTAATCATGGTACAAAGTTACAACTTTTTGGTATATTATATTCAAAAATTTTAATTCATTTGATGCTCTGACTCGGTTCTATCAACCTTGGACTTTTACAATCCTTGTAGGTTCATACAAGTCATGTCGTACAGCTAGTTGCTTCAAGACATTCTGAGCCATTTCCTCAAATAATGGTTTTAATGCACTGTTGCTTTGTGCTGAAACCGGGACTCCTGCATCACCACCTTCTCTTACGCTTTGTATGATAGGAATTTGAGCAACCATTTCTGTATTTGAGATAGATGCTAGTTTTCTACCTCCTCCTTTGCCAAAAATATAGTATTTGTTTTCAGGCAATTCAGCAGGTGTAAACCAACTCATATTTTCTACCACACCCAAAATCGGTACATTTACATTGGTTAATAAAAACATATTCATTGCTTTTACAGCATCAATGACTGCTACTTCTTGCGGTGTCGTCACCATCAGTGCACCAGTGACAGGCACTGTCTGAACTAAGGTAAGTTGAATATCGCCCGTGCCAGGAGGTAGGTCTATCAAAAGATAATCCAAATCTGGCCATAGACAATCTTGGATGAACTGACGTAACAATCCACCCAATCGCGGTCCTCTCAAGACAACTGCTTGTTCGGGTTCAACTATAAATCCTACAGAAATAACATGTACACCATGTGCTTGTAAAGGGATTATTTTATGTTTGCCATAAAGAAGCTCTACTTTTGGGCGCTGACCTGTCAATCCCATCATGGTCGGAATGGAAGGACCATATAAGTCAGCATCAATGAGTCCAACTTTATAACCCAAATTGGCAAGAGAAACAGCTAGATTGACAGAAATTGTGGATTTACCTACACCACCTTTTCCGGATGCAATAGCAATTATATTTTTGACTTGTGGCAAAACTGTGTTAGCATCATCATCTGTTGCGTTGATTTTGAGATGAATATGTACATTAGCTTGTGGGTAAACTTTGGCTATTTCTTCCATACAAGCAAAATTCAAAGAAGATTTTAAGTCCGCATCATTAGACTTTAGGACAATTGAAAATGAAATATTATCACCTTCCAATTTAAAATCTTCTACCATGCGATGAGAAATGATGTCTCCGCCGGTTTTCGGATCCTTTACATTTCTCAGTGCTTCTACTACCCTATTATTATCAATCACTATGTTGAATTTTAAATGAATTAACTACCTTCTAAATCTCAAAAACGGATGATTTGTTTAATATATCCCTAAACTAATCGATTATTATGCTTAAGATTCTTATTTTTGCGGCAATTAATAGATATCAATCAAAAAAGTCTATTTATTTGCATGAACATATTCAGAAACATTAAAGAACTTCCCGAATTTAAAAATGCCGTTATAACTATTGGCTCGTTTGATGGCGTTCATACAGGACACCAGAAAATATTGGCTAGGGTGAAGTCATTGGCAGAAGAGTTGGATGGTGAAAGTATCGTGATTACCTTCTATCCGCACCCACGCCAAATAGTAGATCCAAGTGGACAAGAGCTGAGCATTCTAAATACATTAGATGAAAAACTTGCCTTACTAAAAAAATTTGGAATCAAAAACGTCGTGGTTATTCCTTTTTCTTTTGAATTTTCGCGTCAAGCGCCAAGAGAATACATTGAAAACTTTATTATCGCTTGTTTCCATCCAAAATATGTTGTGATTGGATACGACCACCGCTTTGGCTTAAATAGAGGAGGCAACATCGAACTTCTCAAAGATTATGAAAAGCCGAATGGTTTTAAGGTTGTAGAAATCCCTAAGCAAGAAATCGACGACATCACCATTAGCAGCACGAAAATAAGAAATGCCTTATTATCCGGAGACATTCAGGAAGCTAATCTTTTTTTAAATCAGCCATATCTTCTTACGGGAAAAGTGGTCCACGGTGATAAAATAGGTAGTAAATTAGGTTATCCTACAGCAAACCTACAAATAGAAGAAAAAGAAAAGTTAATTCCCACTGAAGGAGTATATGCGGTTTCCATCGAAATAGATGAATTGCCTTTCGAAGGCATGATGTATATTGGAAAAAGACCGACAGTCACCAATCAAACCAATGTTGGCATCGAAATCAATATCTTCGATTTTAATCAGAACATTTATGATAAAACGATCAGAATTCACATTTTAAAGTATTTGAGAAGCGATATTCGTTTCAATAATCTAGAAGAATTAAAAGATCAGCTTAAGATAGATGAAAAGAATGCCCAAATCGCTCTTGAAGCCATCCATAACGATACACCTAGAAAGGCAAAGGTTACGATTGCTATTCTAAATTATAATGGATCAGAATTGCTTGAGTCCTATCTGCCAATGATAGAATACAGCTCAGCCAAATATGATGTGGACGTCATGGTTATCGATAATAAATCTGAAGATCTTTCTGTCGATTATATAAAGGAGTGGCATCCAGAAATTAATGTCATTGAGCTTACAAAAAATTACGGCTTTGCAGGTGGATACAATAAGGGACTAAAAGATGTTAATACAGATTATGTCGTTATCATCAATTCAGATGTCTTAGTTACCGAAAATTGGCTTGATCCTATCTTGGATGCTATGGAAGCGGACCAAAAACTAGGTATTGTCCAACCTATGATACTTTCGCTAGAAGAAAAATCAAAATTTGAATATGCAGGTGCTGCGGGAGGATTCATTGATTATTTTGGGTATCCATTTTGTCGTGGGAGAATCTTTGATACAGTAGAACCTAATAATAACCAATATAATACAGATACAGAAGTATTTTGGGCAAGTGGCGCTACAATGGTTTGTAAGACATCATTGTTTAAAGGCTTGGGTGGATTTGATGCTAGTTTTTTTGCACATCAAGAAGAAATAGACCTTTGTTGGAGAGCAAAACAGGCTGGGTATCAGGTAAAATGTATCGTTTCTAGCAAAGTGTATCATCTCGGTGGTGGTACCTTAGATTATAACAATCCTAAGAAAGATTATCTGAACTTCAGGAATAACCTATACCTTCTGACTAAAAACGAAGCACTTGGCAAACTCCTTTGGCTCATTCCTGCTAAGCTTGTGTTGGATGGATTGGCAGGTTTGAAGTTCCTTTTGGCGGGAAAACCACAGTCTACACTTGCCATAATCAAAGCACATTTAAGGTTTTATGTGAATTTGCCATTTGTTTTTGAACAAAGAAATAAAGACCACATAAAAATTGAAAAATGTCGAATCGATAAACCAAACATGAAAGGCAGGTACTTAGGATCTGTGACTTGGAAGATAATATAAATAGCATTAAAGATCTGGAGTATAAACGTATTGGAATTATTAGAGATGATCCAGATGTTTACGAATATGCTACAAAAATACTTGGGGAAAATTCAAAAATAGTGGAATTAAGTGATGAAGAAGATACATGGATGCAAATAAATTATGATAATAATACAGTCAATGCATTCATATATGATTTTCCTTTTGCTGCAACAGAGCTAGCAAATAATCCTAATGGTAATTTAAGTATTAAAGTTGCAAATTTACCAAATTCAAATCTTGAATATAGAATCGGGGTAAGAAGAGGAAATGAAAAATTAAGAGACAAGCTAAATTTAGCAATAGCCAAAGTGAAAAACATGCCTGAATATGCTAAAAAATTAAAAGTTTATTTACCAACTGGAAATGTTCAAAAAGTTGTAAATAAGCAAAATCTTCCAACTCATACTGTGGAATCTGGAGAAACATTAAGTCTTATAGCACAAGAAAAGCTTGGTGATTTAGAAAAGTGGCGTGACTTGCAGCGAATAAATAATATTCCTAACCCTCATTTGATTAATGTAGGTGACGTATTAATAATTTCAGAAAAATAAATTACATGAGAAAATCAAAAAGTTCCTTATTAGATAAATTAGTTTCACTTTTAAATAATGAGAGAAGTAAATCGAATCCAAATGTAAATTTCTATTCACGAAGGGAATTCATTATAAATTCTAGTAAAGGATCATTAGCGGCTGGAATTGCAATTACCTTACCCACAATTTTCGAATCTTGCAAAAGCTCTGATGATAAAATATTAGATATTGCAATATTAGGAGGCGGTATAGCAGGGTTGAATTGCGCGAATCATCTTTTGAATTCTAATTTGTCTTTTACAGTTTTTGAAGCTAGTAAAAGACTTGGTGGCAGGATTTTGACACATTACAATGACTCATTAGGAATTGGGATATTTCCTGAATTTGGTGGCGACTTCATTGATTCTAACCATGAAGATATGTTAAGTCTTGTTAAAGAATTTGATCTTAAAACAATTGATTTAGTTCAAGAACAACAAGAGAAAAAATTATTAAAAGACGTCTATTATTTTGAAAATAGAATAATATCAGAAGACGAAATTATAAATGAATTTTCTAAGATAGCAGATAAAATTTCAAAAGATGTAGAATCTCTTGGTGACAATTATGACACTCCAGAAGCAGAAATTCTGGACAATATGCCATTAAGCCAGTATATTTATTCACTAAACTGTGAAAAGTGGTTACAAGACTTATTAATAGCTGCTTTTACTGCTGAATTCGGACTGGACTGTTCTGAACAATCGACACTTAACTTTTTGGATATGATAGACACGGATACTAGTTCTGGATTCAAAGTGTTTGGTGAAAGTGATGAAAGGTACAGGGTAAGCGGAGGGAATTCAAAAATTATTGAAGCGCTAATCAACAAAATTGGTGAAGATAAGATTGAAAAAGAATATGAAGTTTCCGAGATTAATGAAAACAACGGTATATACGAAATAAAATTTGCTAATGGTAAAATTATTTCGTCTAGGTTTATTGTTTGTACAATTCCTTTTACCATTCTGAGGAAGATAAAATTAAATTTAAAAGATGTATCTCCTGAGAAAGATAAGTGCATTCAAGAGTTAGGTTATGGAATGAATACAAAACTAGTTCTGGGGTATAAAAATAAACCATGGACTGCAGACCCAAATTCTGCAATGGGCTATTTATTTCATAATGAGATTGTTAATGGATGGGATAGCAGCTATAACAAAACAGCTGATAATGATAATTCAGCTTATGTTTGTTATTTTGGGGGAACATATTCAAATGATTTGAACAAGGAATCTTTTAAAAACAAATTAGCCCCAACATCTCATATATGGAAAACTGAATTGCCTAGTGCAAAAGTTAATTCCTTTGTTAGCGAACTTGATAAAGTTTTTAAAAATTCTAAGGAGCAATTTTTAGATAAACATGTTTTTGTAAATTGGATTGACTATCCATACACTAATGGAAGCTACAGTTGTTACAAAGTTGGACAGTGGACTACAATTTCTGGCCTTGAGAGTGAACCAATAGGGAATTTTTATTTTGCAGGTGAACATTGCAGTGAAAATTTTCAAGGATATATGAATGGTGGCGCTGAAACCGGCAGGGTTGCTGCTGAGAATATTATAAAAATGTTTGTAAAAACTAAGGAAGGTAAAAAATAATGGATGATAAAATTCGATTATCTCCTTTATTATTTTGTTGTCAGTTTTAATCAAGTCAAATATTTTATTTGCAGGCGATAGACGCTAAGACAAGCATATAATTTATTTAATTCATGGATCAGGATTATATTAATTACTGATGGTGTTTTTAATGATCTTGATCCTACACTTGATTTAAATTCAATGGCTGACGTAGGGATAATTAGTTTGGAAGAATAAAAAAAGATTGAGATACAAGCTTTTACGAAAATAAAGTAATAGCATATGAAAACAAAGTGCATGAGATCAATTCGCTTGGGCAGTTTCAATTTTTCGTTTTTAATGTTATCATTGATTTCGCTTCCAGTTCATTTTCAGTTAATATTCACAGTTGTGGGTTATCTGAGAAAATAAAATGTGGCAGAGGAATTAAAGAAATTGAGAAACCTGGCCATGCATGGGAAAAACCCTGTATGCATTAATCATGAAACGAGTGTTTTTTCATTAGATAGCTTAGAGCAATTGCTTGTTAGTCTGAAAATATTAAGAAAAGAATATAGCGCAATAAGTTTAAAAATACAACAACATCCAGATTTTCAAAAGTCCATAAAACTTGAATATCTTAGTAAGCTTTATTTCGTACACAATCATCATCCCAAGGCATTGGAGTATTTTCTGGGTTGGAAGTGAAGGGGATTATG